CAGTCACTTGTTATGCATCAGAGAGTTGGACAATGACCAAGGAGGACAGAAGGAGAATTGATGCCTTTGAGCTGTGGTGCTGGAGAAGAGTATTAGAGTACCATGGACTGCTAGGAAAACAAACAGATTCATCCTGGAAAGGGTTAAACCGGGTGACTCTTTGGAGGCAAGGACTCTGAGGCTCCATCTAACATACTTTGGACATGTTGTAAGAAGAGACTGGTCCTTGGAGAAGGACACCATGCTTGGGAGGGTGGAGGGACAGCGCAGGAGGGGAAAGCCCTCTATGATGTGAATTGATTCGGTGACTGGGGTTATCGGGATGGGAGTGTCAGAGACAAGTGTGATTGGCACAAGACAGAGCAAAGTTTAGAGCTGTTGTGCATAGGGTCGCTATGAGTCGCAAGTGACTCCACGGCACATAACAACAACCTAGTCCTGATGTATTTTAAACGGATTTTTTTACAAAGTTTTCTGTCTTTGTTGTGTATGCAGTAATTAGTAATTTTTATTTTCTAAAGTTAATGTTTATAACTCTTATTTTTCTAGAATATTCTCTGTCTTATCCTAGGGAAGCCTTCTTGCCCTGTGGCAAGCAGCTGTGCTTCAATCCTGAAGGCATACAGTTCAAGGCCACCAGCCACTACGCCAGAGAAGAATAGGCAATCTTCTTCTGTGCAATTAACTGCCTCTGAATACCTGGTGGAGGGTTGGCTATGGGTCTATTCTGACTCGACGATACACAACAACCACAATCCTAAATTGAAAAATTTTTGTAACAAATGAGCAAAGTTGTTGTTCGATGTCATCTAGTTGATTAAGACTCTAATGACCTATGACTTATGACTCGACCCTCTGAACAGCTGGTTGGAACCTTGTCCTGTCCTGTGCCATTGTAATGATCTCTGCCTATTTAAGTCCATTAGAGCAGTCACTGGGTCGGTCCATCTCCTTGAAGGTCTTCCTCTCTGTCACTGAGCATCTACCTTTCCCATCATGATGTCTTTTTCCAAGGACTGGCCCTCCTCATAATATGCCCACTATCCTTGTCTCCAAGGTGTTCCCTGGTTATGCTTCCTCTAAGCCAGATTTGTTTGTTCTTTTGACAGTCCATAAGACATTCTGTTATTTTTTGGTCATAATCATTCAACTTTCAGATGCATCAGAAACAATTGAAAATTACATGTGTAGGAACAACATCATAGCAGTGTGCAAATCATCATGGCACAACACATGATGAGAGAAATGTAGTGGCCTCAGTCCCTGGCAATTGCTAATTTATTTTCTGTTTCTGAATTTGCCTCTTCTAGATTCTTCATATAAGTTTAAAGACTAAAAATGCCTGATCCAAGTCATGGGGTTTACATAATACCCTACCTTAGGGCATAACTGTGTTGATGAAGAAGGCTTGAAGCTCTTACTGAAGATCAAAGAGTTCAATATGGATTGTACCTCAACATCAAGAAACCCAAAATCCTCACCATTGGAAAAATAGGAACCATCATAATAAGTGGAGGGAGAAAAGATTGACTTTGTCAAAGATTTTATTTTACTTGGATCCACAACCAACACCCTTAGGAGCAGCCATCAAGAAATTGAAAGACATTTTGCAGTGAGTGAAAGTACTAAAGAGCCAGGACGTCAGTTTCAAGACTAAGTTGTGCCAACAGAGCTCTTGTGGCAAGCCTAGTGGCAAGGTATTGCACTGCAATCTCGAAGGCACTTGCTTCGAGGCCACCAGCTGCTCTGTGGGAGAAGGATGGGCAAACTCCTCCCATGCAAATAACTGCCTCTGAAAACCTGCTGGACGTTCAGCTGTGGGTTGGTTCCAACTGGATGATATTCAACAGCAGCAAGAAGCTGTGCCATTATATTTTTTTAATGGTTTCTTGTGTATCTGAAGTTGGACAGTAGATAAAGGAGATTGAAGAAGAACTGATACCTATGAATTGTGGTGCTGAAGAAGAGTATTTAATGTCTATCTCATAAACTGTCAAAAGAACAAAACAATTGGTCTTGTAGAAAAGTACAAACTGGATGTTTCTTAGAGTACCTTAGAGACAATGATGGTTGAAATTGGTCACAAATGCTTTGTAAGAAAGGCCAAGTCCTTGAAAACAAACATCATATTAGGAAAGGTAGAGGGACAGTGAAAGAGAGGAAACCCCTCAGTGAGACAGATGGACACAGGGACTGAAACCATTGACTTGAGCATTGCAGAGATTGTGAGCATGGTGCAAGATAAGATAAGGTTTTGATTGGTTGTTTATAGGTTCGTGATGAGTTGTGGTTGACTCACAGGCACCAAAAAACAGCCACCTAAGGTGAACAGTCACACCAGGCAGATACTCATCCTTCAAACAATCAACCATATAAAGTCAAAAGGATGACATTGGCTCAGAACATAAAAAGTCAGAAGGCAAGAAGAAATAGCATAGAAGAATGAAGGGAATGAGTCACAAGAAGTAGGAAGAGTACTGTTACAATGTGTGGATTACTATTAATGCTAAAATAAAATAGGATGTGTGAATATTGGAATGTAAAACTAATTTGCACTGTAGACTTTCACATAAAAAAGTCTTGGCCCCTTGCGTTTTTCTATGTTTAGCTACTAATGTCTACTATTTTTTTGTTTCTATCTCTATTTTTTTTTCCTTTTGACCAAAGTTGCGTTTGTTGGTTTTTTTTTTAGGTTTAAGATTTAAATTTTTCTTTGTGACCTCATGCTCAATATTGTGTGTATATTACTAGGTCTTCTTTGCAAGGCAAAATGTTCTATATAAGAACATTATATGTTCTTTACATGTTTTATTTCATTGTTGTGGTTGTTGTTCTTGTACGCTAGAGTCACAACCAACCCATAGCTGACCCTCTGGTCGGTTTTCATAGGCAATTAGTCACATGGTGCATTGGAGGAGATTTCCTACCCTTCTCTGGCAGAGCAGCTAGTGACCTCGAACCATGTACCTTTAATATTGCAACATGGCTTCTTGCCACTAGACCAACAGAGCTCCTTTTGTATTTCATTACATGTTTTATTTTATTAATTAGATTTAATATAGCCTTTAAAGGAGTCCTGGAGACACAGTGGTTAAAGTGTTTGGCTGCTAACAGGTCAGCAGTTCAAACTCATCAGCTGCTCCATAGGAGAAAAATGTGAACATGTGTTTCTGTAAAGATTACAGCCTTTGAAATCTGGTGGGGCTAAGTATCCTTCTGTCCTCTAAGACTGTTATGTGCTGGGTTAACACTACTGTTTTGGCAGTCTTCTATATTTTTCAATTTTCATGCAATTACACTCCTCTGAGTCATTAAAATGATAGGAAAATGAATGTTTGATAAATGAATGAAAGCTGTCTAATGTCCTGTGGTTAACTATCATTTTGTTCTGTTTTGTCTTTTAGCCAAAGATTGCTGAGGAAAACTTGACATATGCGGAGCTGGAGCTGATTAATCCCTGCCAGGCAGCCAAAGGCATCCCTACCAGTACGGTCTATGCCCAGATCCTCTTTGAGGAGCATAAACTGTAACACCACATCTTTTCAATGTCCTATTTAATATACCTGCCACCTCAGCTATTTATGAAACTGTAGAAACAAAGTCCTTGTTTCAGTACTTCCATGTGTGCCCTCTCTGTGGAGGAAACTTTTTCCAGCTACATTCCAGATGCCTTAGAAGGGAGACAGGACTGCTTTCCACCGAGGGACAGAACCATGGACCTTCCTTGCACAGATCTCCTAGGACACCCTTTTTCTCTCGGCCGAGTCCTGAGTGGTGAGAACTATGGTTCTCCCTTGGAGATCTTCTGCTGAGCCAAACTCTTCACTTGTTCTTCCCCTTGGGTTATTTCCTTTCTTTTAATATTTTTAAATGTTAAGTTTAAGTTTTTCCTGTATCTTATGTCAAGTGTATGGTATATAGCTAGAGGAAATATGTTAAAGAATAAGATGGTTGTTGTTGTGTGCTGTCAAATTGGAACCAACTCACAGCTGACCCTCCAGCAGGTTTTCAGAAGCAGTAAATCACATGGGAGAAGATAATCCATCTTTCTACTGTGAAGCAGCTGACGGATTTGAATTGTGTGCTTTTGAATTGCAGTGAAACTCCTTATAAATAAGCCACTAGAACTCCCTATAAGATTGTAGATAGTACATAAGATAGAATAATTGCTTTTCAAAGCATAGAATTGCATTGCTTGCGCACCAGAATCAAGTTGTGACTGAAGAGCTTCTCTTGTTTTAAACAGATACATGATCCTGAAATACTGTGGGTAAAGTCTCATTTTCTAACAGTGAATTTCTGAATTCCCAGCATCTGCTTCTCCATTCCAGGCCACTCATTCTAGGCCCAAATTGAGGACCATTCTCAGGTCTTCTGTCTCTTTGTTGTGTAGACTTGTCCTGCTGTAACTGCTGGCATGAGGTCTCACTCTGACTATGGTGGTCAATAGAGAACTGCTCCAGAGTGGTTTTCTCAGATGTAATCTTCCCAGATGCAGATTGCCAGGCTTTTCTTCTGTGAAACCACGAGGTGGATTTTAATTGTCCACCTAAGCCTAACAGTCAATCACTTATACCACCCTTACTCTTTATACTGGTGGCGGTTGTTGTTCTAAACCCTGCTCTATCCTATCCAGCCTCATTGTCTCTGACACACCCACTCTGAGTCAATACAAATTCAAATGTTATTTAAGAAGTTTGTGCTCTCCTTTTCCCAGAGGGACATCAGTTTCCCACAAATGACACACCAGTGCAGCAGGCCTCTTCAGAGCTTCACGAGGCTCATCAGCTCTAATGGAGTACTGCCAATGACAGTAGGAGATCCACGCTAATCTGGAAAACTGTCCAGAAGACCTTTCTATTGTGAAGTGCCGTCCCATCTCAGCTCTAATAATCAGCAGGGCTTGAGGCCAGGAATGCATGGAGCGCAATGCTTTGCCTGGAATTTACTCTGTGTTCTTGAAAGAAGCACAGGAAAACTGGACATATTGCAAGCGGCTCTGTACTACACGTATCAGCCTGGAACAGGTCATCAGGGACATTTTCTAGTGTGTAAATATTCTCTGGATGATGTTTACCACACACTATACAGACAGGCTAAAATGAACTATGCACATATGGTAAATATATTTTAAATACAAACTTGGATTTGAGCTGTGTTCCTCTTTAGAGCACATTTTATTGCCTTATATCCCAAAACTCAGTGTCTTTGTATAAATGAATATTGCCTTATATCCCAAAACTCAGTGTCTTTGTATAAATGAATGTGCACAAAACAAGATAAAACAAGATTAAAGGTTAAATGGCAGGATGAATATTTCAATGATCTGGATATATAATAGGTTGCTACACAGATGAACTCTGTTTTCATGCTAAAACCAGCCTGAGTTTCCAAAGCGATAATTTCCCTATAACTTAAGTCTTTAACTGCATTAGCTTTAAAAAGTAAATATTTGTCCAGCACCTTATTCTCACAACACCCTTCCTAAAGTCTCACCATAGCACACTAACACTTTGCACAGCATATTAACAATTTTGGAGCATCCAAATTTTGCCTTTTGGTGAAAGAATATGAAAATGGATCGTGAACTTTCTGCCTTGGTGAAAGTACAAGCAGAATGTTCTTTAAAAATCAGGATTGCTTACTTTGAACACATTGTCAAGGGGAACTGATCACTAGAAAAGAGCATCATGTTGGTACATAGAGAGTCAGCAAAAAATAAGCAGAGCTTCAATAAGATGAACTGACATAGTGGCTGTGACAGTAGATTCAAATGTACCAGAAATTGGGAGGATTGCTCCAGACCAAACAAAATTTCATACAGCTCTTCATAGGGTCGAGTCTGAGCAGAGTCAATGGCAGCAAACAGCGAATTTTCTGTACCTGAGAAGACACACCTATGTGAAATCAGTATCCCCTCTACCTGGTCTGCATCCGACTTTGTGCATCCTCCCCTCCTTAGCTGCCAGACTTCAGAGTTAGTGAATTGGAAGAATTAATTAGATATTCCCAGAGCATCTGTTTGGGGTGAGGGGAAAGGCTATAGTTAGTACACTCTGTCATATCATCACATGTTGTTTAAAATTTAACTCATCATGCCACTAAACAACAAGATTCTTTTGTTTTGATGTTTTGAGAGGAGCCCGTGTTTTCCCTAACATTCACAGAAGGCAGTATGGACTGGTGGACTTTGGGGTGCTACCACATGGGAGAGTAGGTCACATGAAAAGTTGTGTGGGGGACAGGAAAGAATAGGATAGGAGATTATTTCTTTCTAGGTCCTTAGGCCTCTTCAGAACCAAACTGAACTTCAATCACCTTCCCCCACCCTCACTTCTTCAAATCCAGATCAAGCTTGAGATCATGATGTGGAAATCAATGCACTAAGAAGAGCAAATGCTTCTAAGAGCTAGCAGCCTTACAAATCTACCAAGGTCATTGCTATAGATTCCATTCAGCCATTTCCTCCTGACAATGGCTGCACAAATCCACAGTAAGTGGTACAAGTGGGAGCCTTGCAATCCTATAGTATAAAAAAACCAATGACCATCACCTCTAGCTAAAAGTGCTTCTTAAGTGAGTTGTGGAAAGTAATGGAAAGATTTTAGCCAGGCTTGTCTTACAAAGAATTCTAAAAACAAGTTGTCCAGTCTCTTTCCAGACAGGAGGACATGGATAGTTTATACCTGGTACTTCTCTTGGGGTGATTAATCTTGTCACTATTGCCGTAAACTTAAAAAGTGGGCCTATTCATTCCTTCTCTAGCAAGTACAACAACCATACGTTTACGTTTTGTAAGGTAAGGGCAAATGTGTCAGCTGGGTGTTTGAATGATATGCACCATTCACTTAGAAACAAGGGTAAGTTCTTCTGTCTAGTTGGGAGCAGCTGTACGTGACTCATCTTCAAAATGGAATAATTTATATATTTAAAGCTCATTATTGTTGAGTTGGAATCAACTCCACTGGGTTTCTGAGTCTTCATTACATGGTGAGAGAGAGCCCATCTTTCTCCCTTCGAGTCACTAGTAAAATTCACTGGTCAATTCTAACTGCCAGAGAGGCACAGCTTTCAGGCTAACAGCGCAGCTCTCTGTGGACTGCAACCTGAGAATTCCGATTTAATCTAAGTAATGCTAAAAGCAAATAGGAACACATTGTTAAGGATTTAGTAGCAGGCATGGCAGAGGTGCCCTCTGGTTGGATGCCAAATTGAGGCTTAGTCCACACATCACAAGAAATTATAACAATAAGCAAGGCTGTGAAGGAATGTCCCATTTGAATGAGAATATCTTGCCAAGTAAAAACCCCAAGTCTTGAACTACAGTAACAGTGATTGGGAGAGAATGCTGGTATCCTGTTAGGCTCATATCTTCACAGAACCATTTATTGCTTTTTTAGCTCATAGGGCAAATAAAAACAAGGTAGACCTTCCCCTGCAACATTTGCTGGAGTAACAAGGATTTGAGTAGTTACTTCTTTGAGTACATAATCAGCTATACTGACCTACACATAAATAAACCCACAGATCTCCGCTGGATCAAAGCATAAAGGTAGTTGGTGCATCGAGGGACTATTTATCGCCTGCTCATCACCAGCCCTTGTTTTGATTGCATATCTGTATCTCACTGAGTCAAATATAGACCCATGCTCCAGCTCACAAGAGATGATAAAAGTGTGGGTGGCCCACCTTTCCCTTGGACAACTCTGCTGGGATGCTGTGTATCAGCTTTGCTTCTAGCCACATCTCCTTCCAATGCCCTGGAAGCCCAGAATCTCAGTTCCCAGACCCTAAAATCTCCCAGACTCCTCTTGCCAATGAGTCTTGCTTGATTCAATGAATTACTTCATTATCTCCTATTTAAACCCTGGTTTTACCCAAGCTGGTTCAACTATAACAAAGAATTCTGATTAATTGGTTTGCTGGTTTGAAGAGTTCCCTAAAATTCACATCCTTTCTGGAACCTTGGAACTTTATTTGGAAAAAAGAGTCTTTACAAATGCATTGAGATAAGGTGACTCAAGAGGCTGGAGTCAGAAGGTGACCCAGCTCTGGATCATTTGCAGTCCATTATGAGGTGAAGAAGGCATCCTAAAATCTAGTAAAGGACCTTAAACATGAAACAGAGGCTGTTCACAGAGATGATGACTTCCTGGTTTGGGAAAGAGGTCTGCATGCAGGGTTGCACATGACAAGTTTCTGTGAGACACACAGATGGATAAGGACATACAAGGTGGGCACATGTGCTTGTGTGAGCATATATTACCTAGGGTTCTTGTTAAACTACAACTCTGATACAGGAGGTTAAGAACCTACACCCAGAAGAAGATGGATTCTAAGATACAAAGCTATTTATAGGGGTGTCTTGTGGTCCACAGACTTTGAAAGGGAACAAGAACTTTCTTCCAAAGTCAGTAGAGAAAACTCTTCCTAGTACTGGTGCCCTGAATTTGAACTAAATATTGAGGGATTGTATTTCTCTGGAGTAAATTCATCTACTCATCCTATTGTTTGTGGAGTGCTGTCAAGC